AGCAGCCTCCTCCACTCATAAGCTCCAGTTCCTTCCTTTGTCTCCTCGTTTATAGTTTGCTATTACATTCAAGCCTCACTATAGTTTGTTTGAAGCAACTTCCAATCCCAAACTTGCATATAATGTCAAACTATTGTTTGCTTGAACAAGACAAGGAGGAAAGGAATTGGGATTACATGAAAGATGAGGGACAGAGAAAAAGGAGTGTTGGAATGAGAGTCAGACAGACGAGCAGTAGGTGTCCTGAGGCATCTCTCTGGGGCAAAAAACCCCGAGAGCTCTCTTTTATTGAATATTGACAAGCATTGCCACGGTGTGCTAGTGGCTGATTGGTTGATACGAAGACAAAGAGACTCATCTTTTATTGGATAGTATAATTACAAGGAGGGATTATATAAGTATATTAATCTTCAATACATCAAAGGCTAAGAAAGAGCTAGAGCTCAGACAGTTAGGACAGCTCCTTATCAAATTAAAACTAGAGATTGATTATAGCATGACTTAAAGCAATTACTAATGATTTATCATAACATAAAGAATATAATTGGGAATAGGTAAACATGAACTTCTTGAACTGAGGACATGAGGAGGGATCTTTGGTATGTGGCCTTGATGCCTTATACACTTTGTAACAAGAAGAGAAAAAGATTATAAACAAGCGAGGGGATTATAATTGAGACTTCCCAGAATGCAAGGGGAAAGAAGCAAGGCTTCGCTTTATACAACAGTTATGCATAGAAAACTTCCATTCAAAGGAGCTTGTTTGAAGTTTTGAGCAGGTCTGAGCTGACCCCATGTAAAAGCAAAATATGATTGGTTCCCTAGGCCTCTGGGATTCAATGCAATCTTGAGTGTATGCCACATTTATTATTATGTAGAATGCTCAAATTTGTTCAATAAAAACTAAGTGAAATAAGTTCACTGTTGCAATAAATTAATTAAACTGTTCTTTTAAAGTAATTTTGGGTTAAGAGTACCTAAAATAAAATAAATTATGTGAGACAGCATGAGTTTGAACAACTGCGAAAGGAAGTGGAAGACAGGAGTGCCTGGCGTGCTCTGGTCCATGGGGTCACGAAGAGTCGGACACAACTAAACGACTAAACAACAACAACAACCTTTCTAATGGCAGATGGTCAGTTAACAGCTTACCTGCTTGTTGGCTTTCAACACAGCCCTTAGGGTCGCTATCTGCTCTCGTTTCGTACTCAGCAGGGACTTCAATTTCAGTATTTCTTCCATTAAGGCCTCCTTGTCCTTATCGATCATAGGTACTAGTTCACGGGCTGCTGCACGCTGCCGGGACAGCTGCAGCGACCGATCTACAGCCTTCTGCAAGTGCTTGATTTGGTCCCTTATTATGGCATTCAGGTTGTAAATATTCATCGGTTCTTTGCGAATGTCACTAGTGTCGGAAACTGGGGAGGAAGGGGGGGCTGTGATGACTGGAGAAATTGTGGGTGTCTTTGTTGGACTTTGCTCTTTGTTGGCTTCTGCACTCTCCCTTGAAATCTGCTCAGTCGGTGTCCTCACTTCTATTGGAGATGCCATCCCTCTCCTAGCCAGCCGTGGGGACAGAAGCCCCCTTGGATCATCAGGTCCCTTGAGGCTCCCACTTCTAGTAACTCTGCTTTGCCTGTAATAATCTAGCATAACCCTATTAGGAGTTTCGTTGTTACACAAACACACATGGTGATAGAGCTGAGCCAGCTCCTCGCTGAAAGTCACCAGCTCATCCTGGGCTGTGTTGAGTGTATTGTGGTTCTCATTTGCAACACCTGTAATTCTTTGCAAGTCTTTTTCCATCTGCATCATTTTCTCGTGGCTATCCTTAGTTGACTTTTCCAGGTTTGTCACCTGCTCATCATATATCTGGATCCTGCTCTCATACTTCGCCTTTTCTTCGGTGTAGTTTTCAACACATTTATTGTATTTCTCCTTCAAGGCCTTTATTTCAGCTTTGAGGTCAATCACCTCCGTGACAGCTACTTTGTATTTGCACTCTAGAATCTCCAAGCCATTGATGTCCACTTCATAGTCATGGGTTTCTTCCCCAGAATCCCGGCCTTTCTCAAAATCTAGCTCCTTCAATTCTTTGTTGCTTTGTAAACCCCTCATAGCGTTGACGTGCTCAGTGAGCCTGTGGACCCGTTCATGTTGCTCAGTAAGTGCCCCCTTTGTGTGTTCCAGCTGGGTCTGTGACTCCTGAAGATTAGCCAGGAGAATAGCTTTCTCGCGCTCCACCTGCAATAACCCAGCGAGAAAAATATTAATGTCTCAAAAAAGAACCTTGGGGTGCAGAAGAATAACTGCTCAGTACCATCGGTGATCTTTAAAAGACTAAGCCTAGGAACTGGCACCTCAGCTATCTGCTGAGGGTCAGAAAAGTTCTCTCCTTCCTAAGGAAATCACACAGTATCTTAAATTTTGCAAGAAAGTCTGCAATTTATTTATTTAAGGCATTTGTATGATGCCCTTCATAAAAATACATCCTAGGTCAGTTCACAATAAAAAATACACTAAAATAATAGTGTATTTAAATTCGGTGTATCTGAAGAAGTGTGCATGCACACGAAAGCTCATACCAAGAACTAACTTAGTTGGTCTTTAAGGTGCTACTGGAAGGAATTTTTTTGTTTTGACTAAAATAATAGCGCAACAAAAAAGCACAAGTTAAAAAACAAGAAAAGCACCTTCCAGATACATCACAACTCAAAGTCAATTGAGACAGCAAAATAGATGACTTCGCTTCAGTGCTTAAAATATAGCTTCCTTTGTCCATCAGACTAAACAATAATTTCATTTAAATGCCAGAGAAACAATGTCTTAACCTGTACCTTTGCTGGTTATTATGGTGGTGATGGTGGTTGTTCTGGTTCCTGTTATTTATAAAGCAATTGGTATTGTGCTAGCAAAAGTAAATAAAACAATTCCTTCTCATGTTCTGTGTTCATGGGCCCAGTTTAAGGCATCATATTAAACTATAGCTACGTGAGCAAGCAGCACTGCTGGCGCACACTACTCAAAAGCTGCCACAATGCTCCTCTCTCACTCTTGCTGCAGTTGCACCATGCACAAAATAAGCAAGAATCTGGCTTATGTTGTCTGAATCCAGGCTTGTGGTTTATATCCTCCTTATTAACTGCTTCCAGTTTCTTGAGCCCAGATTCGGATGACACAACATGTTGGCCTGCAGCTGGCTTTGTCCACCAGAAAGGGAGCAGCATGAGACCCTTTCTGGGCAGTGTGCATTTGCATGCTGCTCGTTCATGTGAAACCATAGTTTGTTTCCAATTATGGTTTAATGGGGCATGCAAATAAGCCAATATTTGTGTCACCAGTCATAGGCAACAATATTTTCCACCAAACCTGGATAATTTTAGTTGAGATATGCATACCATTCCAAATACTTTAGATATATTTTAATAGCAATTTGAGGGGGAAATGCCATTAGACTAGCAGTGTATTATTTTTTTAAAAAAAAAGAAAAGAACAGCAGCAAATGAGCTCTATTCAAGTGTGAGTGGTGCAACTTGTTTGATGAGATGTAATAAACCAAACCTAATTAGTTTAGTAGATGGTGGCCATTATTATTTCAAACCCCATGACACATAAAGGATAGTAATTTATGGAAATGTTAGGTGGATATATAATTAGGAAGAAAGATAATTAGGAACAGTGTTCCTGGCTCTAAGCAATAATCTTGATAGGTAATACATCTGTATTACTGTTGTCATACACAAGCTATATAGGCCTTGTACTGACAAACAATCTACTATAAAATAGTAATCTATCTTGTTCCATGCCACCCCCAATCTCAAAGTTATTTGGATGCTCTGTTGGCTATCACCTTATGAGGAAGTTAAAGGTAAAGGTAAGGTACCCCTGACCATTAGGTTCAGTCGCGGACGACTCTGGGGTTGTGGCGCACATCTCGCTCTATAGGATGAGGGAGCTGGCGTTTGTCCACAGACAGCTTCCGGGTCATGTGGCCAGCATGACTAAGCCGCTTCTGGCAAACCAGAGCAGCACACGGAAACGCCATTTACCTTCCCGCTGGAGTGGTACCAATTTTATCTACTTGCACTTTGACATGCTTTTGAACTGCTAGTGAGCTAACCCCGCCACAGGGATTCGAACCACCGACCTTCTGGTCGGCAAGCCCTAGGCTCTGTGGTTTAGACCATAGCGCCACCCGCATCCCTTGAGGAAGTTAGCCTTGCTTAATTAGCTAATTCCAGAGGAATTAAGTCTAGCTTAATTAGCTATTACAGAAATTAGGTGTCCAACACACAGCTTAATACACACAGGTGTGTCCTAATACAAATACCAGTAACTCTAATACACACTGGTCTGGCTGGTCTAGCTATTTCCCAGTTGTAACACTGGAAATTTAAGAGTGTCTAGCACCCATAAACTTATAACTTGAAACTCATCTGCTTCTATGGAAAAATAATTTAAACTGTATGTAAAAAAGCAAACTTTATCCTAACTCTATAAATATATGTATCTGCAATGTTGGGCTATAAGTAGGTGGAATGGAGGGACAGGATTGCACAGGAGAAGAATCCAAGGAGGCTGCCTGAGGATCAGGATAATTAAAGGAAGTAAGGAATTGTATGCACATAGGAGGAAACAGTGAGGGACGCGGGTGGCGCTGTGGGTAAAACCTCAGCGCCTAGGACTTGCCGATCGCATGGTCGGCGGTTCGAATCCCCACGGCGGGGTGAGCTCCCGTCGTTCGGTCCCAGCTCCTGCCCACCTAGCAGTTCGAAAGCACAATTAAGTGCAAGTAGATAAATAGGTACCGCTTTCTAGCGGGAAGGTAAACGGCGTTCCGTGTGCTGCTCTGGTGCCGGTTCGCCGGAGCAGCTTCGTCACGCTGGCCACGTGACCCGGAAGTGTCTGCGGACAGCGCTGGCTCCCGGCCTCTAGAGTGAGATGAGCGCACAACCCTAGAGTCTGTCAAGACTGGCCGTACGGGCAGGGGTACCTTTACCTTTAGGAGGAAACAGTAGATGCAGCATAGGAGGAAACTGTAGATGCAGAGGTATATATAGTATATATAGTTGAAGAAAACTTAGGCACAGGGCACAGAGGAGGAGAATAAAAAGGAAGGCAAGATAAAACAGGGAGGCATAAGCTTGTCAAAGCAGCACAGAACATAAAATTCTGCATCTGTCATTTTTTCTGTCACTATAATGGGAAAAAGCACATCTGGTGGAATTCTTTCTCCTATGCTGTTACCAGAACTACAAAGCACCCTCCCACCGTGTGGATGCAAAATGTAGTTGGGCCCAATATCTGGTACATTATATGAAACTCCCTTTTTAATGGTCCATGTCAAATGTTACCTGCATGAGCTGCTGTTTCAGTTTTTGCATTTCAGAGATGTTGAGCTCACTGAAGAGATCTGAGACTGGGTGCAGTGATTCTGCTTTCCTAACTGTGGGAGTCCGAAAGTCACCATTCATTTTCATGTGGGGTCCATGAATGTGTCCATTCATTTTGTCATCATTATTAGGTTCGTTCCCATCCTCTCCAAACTTTAATCCATCTACCGAGATATTAATATGGTTATTATACATGCTATCATTTAGATTGATATACTGGGAGAGTTCCTTCCTCAGATTGTTCTTTTGCTCTCTCTCATTCTTTAACGTCTCCAGGGCTTCCTCTAGCTGATGCTCCGCAATCTCCTTTAACCGGATGGCATCTTCTAGCTGGCTATTAAGCAATACAGTTTCTTCCTCAAATCGTTTTATCTCGTGTTTCAGGCCTTCATATTCAACCTGAATTAGGTAAGATAAAGAACATTCAAAATACTAAAAGTTGGATTTACAAACAACCTGCCATTTGCTGCATCTGTTAAACTAAGGTACAAAAAGAGAGAGAGAGAGAGAGAGAGAGAGAGAGAGAGAGAGAAAAGAAAGACTGAACATACGTACTTAAAATTGTTGGATGGAGAAAGGACTCAGATTCTACTGACTATATAAACTGGTCAGCAGAAAGATGCCCTGAAACCATTGTAATTCTATCGTTAGTTTGTTATATGTTACATCTTTCATAATGATGATTATGTAGTGCAAACCAAGTCAGGGGGAGGTTAACAGTTTTTCAGAATAAATATTATCAGGTGTTGGAATGAGAGTCAGAGAGACAAGCAGCAGGCGTCATGAAAGCAACTCTGCCTCGGGGAAACCCCGGGAGCTGTCTTTTATTGAATATTAACAAGCATTGCCACGGTGTGCTAGTGGCTGATTGGTTGATACGAAGACAAAGAAACTCATTGGATAGTATAATTACAAGGAGGGATTATATAAGTATATTAATCTTCAATACATCAAAGGCTAAGAAAGAGCTAGAGCTCAGACAGTTATGACAGCTCCTTATCAAATTAAAACTAGAGATTGATTATAGCATGACTTAAAGCAATTACTAATGATTTATCATAACATAATGAATATCATTGGGAATGGGTAAACATGAACTTCTTGAACTGAGCACATGAGGAAAGATCTTTGGTATGTGGCCTTGATGCCTTACACACTTTGTAGCAAGGAGAGAAAAGATTATAAGCAAAACTTCCCAGAATGCAATAGGAAAGAAGCAAGGCTTCGCTTTATACAACAGTTATGCATAGAAAACTTCCATTCAATCAGGCATATTTCATGAAATTTACCTCTTAACTAAAATGTATTGATTTTGTACCATCAAATGTGACAAAGTATTTTTTTGTAATTTAACAGAAAATCCAAGATGTTTCAGGTGCTTATACATATTGCTTAGCCCAAGGCTTACAGACATATATGAAAAAATGTATTAACTCAAATCTGTAGAGCATGAGACTCTTAATCTCAGATTTGTGGGTTTCAGCCCAACGTTGGGCAAAACGATTCCTGCATTGCTGAGGGTTAGACTGGATGACTGTCCTAGTCCCTTCCATCTCTACAATTCTATGATACTATGACTCTATAACCATTTTTTTTTAACTTTAAAGACACAAATGAAAAATATATGTTCACTACATAAAAACATGAATTCAGGGAACACTGAGAGAGAAAATCGCTCAAAAACACATCAGGTAAATTGTTGTTGTTTTTTTAAGGAAAATGGTGTAACAAAAGCAACTGAGCAAAAGGTTTTAATGAAAATACTAATTGAGACATACATATGACTTATTTTGTCAATCATCTTTTTGCGTATGTTAAGAATGATTAAATAAAAAAATTGGTTAAATAAAATGTTATGAATAAAAGCAGACACAGCAAAATAAAATTGTGAGAAGGTAAAGGTTTGAAAGATGGCATAGAAATATATAAATGTTCCCTGGAAACTACATGTCCAAAATCACTAGTCAAGCTGATCAATATTTGTTGGGATGATGAATCAAGACAGACAAGGAGATGGTGTTCAGAGAGCGTCTTCTGAGTCTCTCTAAAAAAACTCACGCGTCTCTCTTTTATTCAATATTAAAAAGCATTGCCACCGGTGTGCTAGTGGCTGATTGGTCAATACAGAGACAAAGAGACTCACTCCTGATTGGGTAACATAAGTATAAGACGGGCTTACATAAATTCATTAATCTCTAATACATCAAAGGGTAAAAGAGAGCTGGACCTTAGACAGGTATGAAAGCTCCTAATCCACTTACAACTAAAGATTGATTATAATATGACTAAAGCAATTACTAATGTTATGATCATAATATAAAATCACATAATTAATTATACATTGAAGAATAACAGATCATTGTGAACTTAAGGTGAACTGAGTAAAACAGAATGGAATGTAAGGAATGGAATTTAGGGATTTGGGTGCCTGGGACGGCTTTACACAGTGTGCATGAAGGAGAGAAGCAGAGAAAGAGAGCAAGACTTTAGTCTTTTCAGGAGCCAAGGAAAGGAAGCTAAGAAAAGTTCCCAGAATGCAAGAGAAAGAGAACCAGTGTTTTACTATACTGGCACATAAAGAGAACATCTCTTCAAATATTCATTTATAATGAGAGACAGTTGGCTCTTTGCAAGCAGCAGAAACATAAATTAATTCCTTTGTTAAAGATACAGCATATATTTATATACTATTCAAGTAACACAATTACTATATAATGAGCAATCTCAGAAGTTAATCAGCGCTTTATCTATGGTATAATTAGCAGTGAATTTTTTTGCTGAAAATGGGAGCAATTTTCTGCATAACAAAAAAACAAAAGTGATTAGAAATTGTCCATTTTTACAAAAAGAAAGAAAGAAAATGAAACACAGCCTCTGCTTACAATCTGCTATTTGTGTTTATAGGGTAGAATAATGTTGGATAGCAATTACTTCTAAATATAGTCTGGGTTCCAAAGAGCTATTTTAGGCAAGTGTAAGTGCTTGCGAGTCCCCAATGGGATTTTGACTTTATTGCTTTGAACATCAGACCCACAAGCATGCAATATCACAGATTGCTTCTGAGACTCCCTTCAGTTTTGGAAATGTTCTCTCACAAACAACTGCTTCCTTCTTTGGACCCTGCATAAGCTTCTGGCCCAATTGGCTTGGCAGCCAACTCCCCACCTATCTTCAGAGCCTGACCCTAAGGCTTAATAATGCTTCACAAAGGGGTGGTGGTGGGCTGGAGCTAGCAACTGCTAAATTGACATCAAAACATTTAGCCAAATGCACCACTATACACCCAGCTCACAACTCATGGCATTTTAAAATCTCTTAATGGAGCAGAGCTGTCACATGATAGACTGCAATCTAATCATAGAGTTGGAAGAGACCACAAGGGCCATCGAGTCCAACCCCCTGCCAAGCAGGAAACACCATCAGAGCACTCCTGACATATGGTTGTCAAGCCTCTGCTTAAAGACCTCCAAAGTAGGAGACTCCACCACACTCCTTGGCAGCAAATTCCACTGTCAAACAGCTCTTACTGTCAGGAAGTTCTTCCTAATGTTTAGGTGGAATCTTCTTTCTTGTAGTTTGGATCCATTGCTCCGTGTCCGCTTCTCTGGAGCAGCAGAAAACAACTTTTCTCTCTCCTCTATGTGACATCCTTTTATATATTTGAACATGGCTATCATATCACCCCTTAACCTCCTCTTCTCCAGGCTAAACATGCCCAGCTCCCTTAGCCGTTCCTCATAAGGCATCGTTTCCAGGCCTAATCATGTAGAGTAATCAGATTACTCTTTTCTGTGGGTTCAGCATCCACCACTTACAGTACATTTTATTCCATATTTTAAACCATTAACATGATTTTGTGGCACTGGTCAACTAAGTTACTGGTCTTCAGCTGGTGGGTCACAATTTACCGCTGAGTTGCAGGCTGGCCAAATGTGGGTTTGCAGCAGCACTATGACCATACAAATGTATGGTAATAAAATTAAGAAATAAAGTTGCTTCCAGCCCAACTATATAAATGCCCTTTTAAACCAAGAGATGCCAGGCACTGAACTTGGAGCCCTCTGCATGCAAAGCATGTTTTCTGGCAAACCTCCTTCAACAGTGTCTTCTGTTGCTTGCTCCCATTATCTGGTAATGAATGTATACTGTATTCAAAAATGGTATGTAATTCAGATCTTGGTGTTGTTCCTTTTGCAACCTGTTTCTGAAAATCTAGTTAGTGCTCACCTGGTTCTGTTTCAGTGTGGAAACCAACTTTTGCAATGTAATGTTTTCTTCTTCAAGTTCTGTATAGTCCTGAAGGAGTCTTGCCTCTCTGAACTTGTATTCTCTTATCTCATCTTTCATCCGAATTCTCTGCAGCTCTGCCATTTCATTGCTCTGAAAAGGAGAAAGAAATGAAATATATTGTCATTGTTTCATTTCCAGTGTTATAGGAATTTTAATGTCTTATATATAAAAAATAAATGTTCATAACTGTACAAGGCAAACACATACATAAATATATAAACCACATGTCTGGAAACAGTACAAGAAAACAGTCCTAAAGCCATTTTGACTCTTTCAGCAACCTCAAATATTTCTCTGCGAGGAAGGAAATGGAAAAGCTTCCCCATTGTCTCTTTGTTCACAAATCCTGTCTTAAGGGTGTGTTTGTGTATGAATAGGGTGAGCCTGTGATCTGGATTCAGTAATTAAGTAGTTATCATCACAAAAAGTGGCCAAATGGCCCAGGTAATGCAATCTGTGATCCATTATCAGGTAGCTTGGCAGACAGGAGAAAAACAACACATTCAGATTTCTGCTGTAGACCGCCCCTTCTGTGATGTATGTATGATGTATTGGGGGGGTGTCTTGAGCGAGGCAATTTCAAATATCTATATAAGAGTTTGCACACCACTGTTCTGGGTCCCTCCTGCCTCCTGCGTGTGGTTGTGAGCACTCTGTTGCAACAATTAATAAAGATCAGGCTTGCTGCTTTGCTTCTCAATATTCTCTGGCTGGCCTCTGTTATTTTCTCCTACTGATAGAGAACCTACAAAAAGACTCTATATGGGCTCTTGAGCAACCCATAAGGGAAAAGGGAAAAGTTGTTTTCTTACAACACCAGCAAACCAGTAATGGTAAACTTAACATATACATAAAAATCTGTTCAACCAGACATGCCTGCTATTTATAATGTAGCACCCTGCTTGTGGTTAACGCTTAGCTGGAATGAAATATTCAACGCAGCAATAGAGAAATTAAAATAATAATTTATTTGTCAGACAAATAAATGAGAGGCACAGTGGTATATGGTTACCAAGCTCTGGCCTGCGCTCCTGCCATTATGGCCAGCACTTATATTCCCTTAATCCAGCCCCCTTTGCTCCTCCTTGGGCTGCCTCTGTCCAATCAGCCTGGTTGGATTTCCTATTGGCTGATTGCTATAACCAATCCTAAAAGATACACCCATCCTCCTGTCCTTATATGGAACACAAAGAGCTATATATTGTTACATCTATAAATGACAAATAAGTAGTAATATATCTTACATGGAATCTTAATTACCAGCTCACCTCTTGCCCTCCTTGCCCTATTGCCTTCTAAAACAAATGGTTTATCTTAAATTTTTATCTTAAACATATGTCAAGGATCTTGAGTTTCACATCAACATTGAAAGATCTCCTTCATTTGAAGGTTTCTAAACAAATGTCTGACAGCTATATATCAGGACTGCTTGGATGGCGTCTTCTTGTCTGGCAGGGGGGCTAGGCTGGTGGCTGACTTAATTTCAGGATAACTCTTACAACTATATGAAATAAGAATCTAGCATTTCTTAAATCCTTTGCATAATTACATTTAAGCCAATATATTTAAGCTAATATATTTCATACATTATCATAGGTAACCTTTTAAAAGAATAAAGCTTCTCAAAGTAGAAAGGAAGGAACTCAGTAAAAAACAGTTTTTAAAGAAGCCTCTTTAGTTTACACCTCCCCCTTTCACCCTCCTTTCCAGCCTCAAAATAAAATAGGAAGAAGCTTCTTCTTCCCCAGCCAAGCCAGTTGCCTTTCCCAACATTTATTGCCCTTTTTAACTCTCTCAGTTTAAGAAAGAAACAGCTTTTTGAAGATTTCCTAAAAATGCTCTCTTTTTCTGTCAGCTAGATGTTTTTTTTCCCATTTGCCTCTGGCCTTAGAAAATACAGCTCAAGGTTTAAGAGAGGCCCATGGTATCATTTTACTATTTGCCCATTCCTAATTATGTTTATCTCTGCTTTTTTATCTTCTGTAACATGTAGGGTCAATGTCCTGCTCTTAGTCTGTAATTCCAGCTTTTACGACTTTGAGAATTGTTTTCTGCTATAAATCAAGGGGGGGGCCCTTGTCTTAGGAGAATGGCCAAGGTTTTCTCTGCCTGGCATGAAACATTTGAAAATCTAAGCCCATTTAATTTAGGAACCTAATCAAGATATAAGCCAATATAAGTCTTGATTAAAAATGCAGTCTATATTCAGATGCCACAATAATGCCACTCAAACTCCACAAATAAGTAAAGGTGGAAGGAAAAACAAGCAAAATAGCCCTGATTAAACTTTTCTCTTGAGCTGAAAAAATCACCTCCTCCCCCTTCTCACAGTTTTTAGAATCTCATTACTTTCATTTACTGAATAAAGGATGGAATCAAATACAATTACTAAGTGTTCTTTCACTCCTCTAAGGGTTTAAAGCAGAACAATGAGCAATGAAGTCTGTCCTGCAGAGATAACTACTAACAACCTTGACAAAGGAATGCAAGTTCCAGAGCCCAGCAATTTGTGTCCCAGTGTAAAAGTAAAAGCCTCTTGCAAAATATCAAGCACAAACACTGGAAGAAAACTTACTTCTTTTCTAATGATATATGTGGGCCTATTTCTCAACAGAAAAATGCATTCTTGCTTCATACAAACAGCCAACAACAGCAAGTAGGACACTGTCCAGGGAAGTCTACAAGAAGACTCCAAAGACAGCAAGGGCATAAACTATTTTTCAAAGGCCAAAATATTGCTGCTCCAAAGTATCACCAATGCTGTCCAGAGTGATGTAAGCATGACAGGACATTGCACCCTTTTCTTTTGTTCACAACTGGATTTGGGAGTGTAGCAGAGTGTAGCTCTCTTTGGCTTACTCTTCTTTGTGACATGAATTTAAATATCAGACTTCCTGACTCCTGGGCTGCAATAATTGATAGTGATTGGCATTACAGAGGTTGACCTTGTGAAAACCCTTCCATGAAAACTTAACTTGCCCTAAAGGAGCAGATTTCCTCCTGTCAGACAGAGATGTTATTGTGGTGTAAATTAAGCTAGGGATTTATGACACTTCTAACCTGTTTACCCCAGGTTTCTGGATAAACAAGAAAGGTAACATCAAGCACACCTTGTAAAAAGAATGGTAATCTGATGGTCCATCCTGATTGAATGTTTAAGCTTTTAAAACAATAAATATATCTTTAAATCTTTTTAACTTTGTGAACCTTACACCCTTTTAGAAGACCCCAATATTTTTAGTCTTTAAAGGATGTGAATGAATTAGGGAAGTGGTTCTCAATTAGCTAAACACTGTGGACACTATTTTTCAAATGCCAAGCCATGGACCCCCTACTTTTGAAAATCTCTATAGTAGTTTTTGTTACATGACTGGTGCCACAGAGCCTTGTGGTCTGCAGACCACCCATTGGGAACTACTTATTAGGGCATTAGGATTAAGCATGTTCATGGTTTCATGCTGATAAATCATTATCACATTAATTGCTTCAAATCTGAATGTTTCCTCTGCCCTGCAGTAATTATGTTATTGTTAGAGACTGAATTATTATGGATGTGGATTTCTGGGCTCAAAGTAACTTAGATACATCATCAAGACAGTTCACAGATGACTCATATAAATAGCAACATGTTTTAAGTGTCATGTGTGAAGTCAATACACATGGAGGCTCTTAGAGTGTAGCAGAAAGGTCCCTGCCCCAACGAGTTTACAAACTAAAATTAGACAGCAGGCGGACACCAAAAGATGCTGCCAGTTTGCACAATTTCTAATCAGTTGAAACACCAGTGCTGTATCAGTTTGGTCTTAAACAGATTTAAATACTTGCTAAAATCTCACCCATCAGTCTGACATTCTAAAACTCTCATCTCTTATTCATATATTCATAATAATATGATTTATTAACCTCCCTTCACCATAAGGTCTCAGGGCACTTTAGAGCAATTTAAAATATGATATTAAAACAATTTACATTTCCCCCTCTCTACTCCCTTCCCTTGCATGTCTCATCCCTGAGGACAGAGTCTATTCTCTTGTTTTGATTTATGCAATTATTATTATGAAAAGAAGAAAAAGATTCAAAATAATAGTGAAATAAATAAATTAAGGTCTTATGTATATAATAAAGGTTCATAAATGTACCAAGCAAACGCATACATAGATATATAGGCCACATGTCTGAAGCTGCACAGGAGAGCAGCCATGGAGCCATTTTGACTCCCAGGCTGACCAGGTGTTTTCTCTGCAAGGTCAAATGGAGGAGCCTCCCCATTGTCTTTTCCTTCACAAATCCTGTCTTAAGGGTATGTCTGTGTATGAATGGGGTGAGCCTGTGACCTGGCTCAGGAACTAAGTACTTATCATTACAAAAGACTGTCCAGGCTCCCCAGGGTATCAATCCAGTAAACATTAACAGGTAACTTGCCAGACAGGAGGTAAACAACCCACTCAGATTATGAGGTAAAGAACCCTCTCAGATTTCTGCTTTAGCCCGCCCTTTCTGTGATGTAGATATGATGTATCTGGGGGTGTTCTTGGACTCCAAGGTGGGCAATTTAAAATGTCTATACTACTGTGGGCAAGAATCCCGTAAAAGAAATGGAGTGGCCCTCATAGTCAACAAAAGAGTGGCAAAAGCTGTATTGGGATGCAATCTCAAAAATGATAGAATGATCTCGATACGAATCCAAGGTAGACCTTTTAACATCACAGTAATCCAAGTTTATGCACCAACAACTGGTGCTGAAGAAACTGAAATTGACCAATTCTATGAAGACTTACAACACCTTATAGAATTGACACCAAAGAAGGATGTTCTTCTCATTATAGGGGATTGGAATGCTAAAGTAGGGAGTCAAGAGATAAGAGGCTGTTGGAGTTCAAAACTGTGATAGGAATTTTATGGTTTTAGATATATAGTAATGTTCATAACTGCACATACATAGATCAGCACAGGAAAGCCAACCTGGAACCATTTTGATTCCTAAACTGACCAAATCCTTTCTCTGCAAGGTTAAAAATGGAAAAGCCTCCCCATTGTCTCTTCCTTCACAAATCCTGTCTTAATCTGTGTTTGAATAAGGTGTGAGCCTG